AGCTTACCTTTATATAAGTGTAACAATTCTTTTCTGAATTTTGCTTACTTTTATGAGTTTTTGCGTATTGTGCGAATGCAAAACGCATATTGTCAAGAGGTTTTTTATGTGTGTATGTGTACGTGTGCATCTGTGTATGTGTGCGTGTTCGTACTTTTGGTCACCCAATTTGAGCTCGAGAATCTGAAAAGCTCGTAAGCTGTAACATTTGGAATATGTGCCCATCTCGTTTGTGAGCCTATCACTTTAATATTTTCATTTATGCACACCTGGATTTCCCATACGGTTGTCTAAAAGAAAACAAATTTTTTGGCCGAAAAGCGATCCCAGGAAGACAAGTTAGGAGGCTGAATTTCACAAGCTTGTTCTAGTCCTTGCGTAAGCTAAGAATTTCATTTGCTGTTCATGGGCGGGTCGCATAAAATGAGCCTGCCCTGCGTACAGGGGCAAATGTTTAAACTGCAAACAAAGCAGTCACCTCGGTAGTACAGGCGATCTCTCTGTAAGATGAATCATGCAAAAGAGAAACATGGTAGCACCGACGAGTTTAAATCCTGCTTCATTTTCTTTTGAATCATTGCCAGCAGCTCAAATTCACTTTAAAAGACCGAGATGTGGACGAATAAAAGCTTGTCCAGTTTTCAGTCCGGCGTTCGTACTTTTCAGGCAACTCACCGTCGACATCAATTGGTATGGATAATATCTACGAATTTGGAGCTAAGTTGTTATTTTCGGCGGTCGAATGGGCCAAAAATTTGGCCATTTTCAATGAACTGACCGATACTGACCAGGTGCCTATTATACACTGCTGTAAAGTGTTATTTGTGTTTGAATGACCTGAGAGTTCCTTTTCGGTCGCATGGGTCATTTGTGACCAAATAAACCGTCTATTAAAGGTCCTACTAGAACGATTTTTTCTTATCTTCATGCCCTAAACTTACCTGAAGCGATATCGCCATTCCTTTCATCATTTCTTTCTGACTTCTGTTTTTTGCAACATTTATGTTAACTTAAACCACATCATAAATGCCTGATGGAGAAAATCTTCGTAGTCTATTTGCAAAAATTTGCGTTGTCGGCCTAGTGAATAAAAAAAACCACCACATTCAGAAGTTCTTCAAAATAACAATTATGTTTCCGTTTGGCTAAATATTACTCAAATGTAGCAGTTTTGTTCGCTCGGTTAAGCTGGATTTGATTTTACAGCTAACGCTACTTCGCGCAAGTTGGGCAGAACTGTTCGTAGTAAATGCGGCTCAGTTCGGAATGCCGGCACATGTGGCGCCGCTACTCGCCGCTTCTGGACTGCACTCCACAACACCACTTCCATCCGAACAACTCGTCGTGTTCATGGATCGGATACGTATCTTTCAGGTAGTTCAGGATGAATTTAATTCGTTTTCTAAATATGTATAATTTGATATCCCGGAGCTTCCGTTCAACTAGATTACTGTTGTTTAAATTTAGTGAATCAAAAATACTGGATCAAAGTAATGAGTCGGGTAGTTACGAATGATTTGTTATTTTTACTTTCTCTGCCATTATCGAAGTTTGAGATTTTCGAAAAGTTTTCCTATTATTGTCATTAAATTTGGTTTAATTAAATACGAATATTCA